ATGATTGCATTGCCCTGCTGAGTGAATCTGTCAAGTTGTCAACCCGTTATAAAAAAACACAGGAACACTTAAAATTAACCCTCATAAAAGAGCATTCCTTATACCCAGCAGCGGGCTTGTATTCTGCCAACGCTGGCTAAACTGAACGGGGCACGCAGTAGCGTAGTTGGTTGAGGCCCTATGCTGCAAGCCGGAAAGGTCGCGGGATTTTTCAATCGACCCACTCCTTAAGCAGCACTGTGGCTCTGGGGTCAACACAGCTTGACCTAAATGAGTACCAGGAATATTCCTGGAGATAAAGCGCGGCCGGCGCGTAAGGCTGACAACCTTACCGCCATCTGTGAGCCGATTGTCTAGAGAATGTGGGAACCTCAACGTCTCACAACCCTATGGATCTCCACGACCGGTCACAGGAACAGCTTTACCTTTACCCTATGTTTACTGAGAATCACAAGACACGAGCGATTTAAGTGCAGTTACGTATATCGAAACGCAAAGCTGGAGGAGGCTGAGGTGATCTCTTCCGTGCTACTGTCCTGCCATTCATGTGGAGTGACTGAGTAAACCCACGAATAATACGAGTGGGAGTGGCTATCACTTGATAGACACTGCATATAAGGATATTGCTAGTAAGAAAATATGACTGGAAGTTGATGCAAGTAAAATGGTAACGTGTATGTATTATATCACCAGTTCGAATTTAATTATTGGTAAAGACATTCACCATTCTAAAAATTATTTTGAATTTTTCATATTTGAATCTAGCACAGCTTCACTATAGTAACCTTAACATGCAGAATAATACGTGAACTACCGGCATATTGAAGCGTCATCTCTCTGATGTTAGAAATAATGCTTATCTTATATTGTAAGGTGGATATCAGTGTAGGCAAGGAAATTGTAAAGGCTTATCACACATTCTCCCCAAAATGGTAAAATAATTCTTAAAGACGTTCGCCTGTAGCCAATGTTACAGAAAAACGCTTCCCATGAAGGTCTGAAATGGATGACAATTATATTACGTAATAATTTTCTACTAACTGGAAGTTATATAGCATGGGAGACAAAGGGATGTAAAAAGACTCTGTCGTGATCTGCAGGAAATTATCCTGAAGAAACCTGAATAAAATAATTTAGTGTACTGTTGCGCAATGTAATGGAATTTTATAAACTGTAAAGTTATTTACCATCGAGAGAAAATACAGCAAAAATATTGTTCCCCATCAGAAATAAAACTGGATACCTACAGAATGCAAGTCAGTAACATGGAATGCGAGGCATTTTATGGTTTATCTCCAAAGAGGTTTTTAAATGTAGGTAAGAAATCTGTTTATCTCTGCTTATTACATTTCGACGCAACGTTCATTATCATTCTCTCTCTTGCAATAAGTTATTTTCACACAAATGCATTAAGAGAAAATGCATGCGAAACTTTGCAGCCAAATGTTCCATTTTCATTCATACCAACTGTAATTATGATCTGAGAAATATTTGACGAGCAACAAATCTATCACAAAAAAAAAAGTAAAATACCAAAGAAATTAAAATGAAATCAAACGTCTTATTCTATTAAATTCTGCGAGTTTCAATTATTAATAATTAAATTTCTGTCGTATTAAAAAATTTGGTAATGATTTTTAATTCATTCATGTTGCAAAACCTGTATAATTTTGGAATTTGTAAGACTGTATTTAAGATGTATCGTTGTGACAACATAACACGCTAAGAACAAGGTTTGGACTTTGTAAATTATAAAAACGGCAAGTACCAATTCATATTTTATCTCAGTAAACCAGCAGAATCAATTTGTTCTCTGAATACTTCCAAAGTAAATGACTTAAGAACTCACATACAGTTGCAAATGAACTGCATGTCGAACATCGACCTACCACACTGAAATAAACTGCGACGCGGTACACAGACCGGAGACACACTTCAAACCACAGTCAACTGCAACGACTGCAAACGACCCTCTCACCGCCTCTGACTGCCGTATCAATAAGGTAACCATTTCTAATCTTCCTAAAGATGTCACTCGTATCGATATTAAATGTGCATTCCAATGGCGGCTAGTCAAAAATTGTTCACGTCTGGAAGTTAAAGATTAAAACCAAAAGAAGGCGCAAAAACATTCCAAAATTCCAGGAATAGTCCCAGTACTATGGGTCGTGGAATTTTTAAGGGCGGAAAAATTCAGGGAACAAGTCCTCCGGGACGGAATTTAAGCCGTGTGTCCCATGTCGTAGATTTACGGCACGTAAAAGATCCTCATGTCTCTAGGAGACCTCTGAGCTAAATTAGGCAAGTTTCCCGCCCAAGTAGTTTCCAGTGCCTCTGGCAGATGGAGGAAGCATCAAGGTACCGAGGACCGACCTCGTTGGCTCAACGGGGCTGATAGCACGCGCCAGTGCTGGTAGGGTACGGAGACTGGTAGAATATCAAGGGGGGACATACAATAGACTACTAGTCGCGGTGCATGGGGAAACCCACTCCCTCCAATAATAATAATAATAATAATAATGGGAATGGTTTCAGGTTCTACCAACTGTCCCGAATTTTAAGTTTCCATTAAAATTAAACTGTACATGTTCGGGTTCGATAGTAGATTTGTAGTTAGATTTGAAGAACACATGTTCAGAATATTTCGAAATAGGAGCGATGTTATTACAAGTACAGAATTGGGAATAATCACATAAATAGCAGCTTCCCAGTTCTTTTATTTCATTTACATTTTTAAAGTGGTTATAACAAGGAGATTTAGATGGATAAATTGTGTTATGTATGTGAGGTACGCAAGAAATGCAAAATGGTTTCAGTCAAATACCCAGTGGGACACTGACAAGCGTGACTGAATTTGTTAAATTAATGACTGAAATTATCTGCCCTAAGGTGTCTCGTAATCAAAGTCACTTCTTAAAAACCTGTGCCTAAATTTCACCAAAACTTACATCTTGTTATTTTCATTACCTACTGTATACTATTTGATGTCACTGAAACTTATTAAAGACAATATTAGTTTTATTTTCATAATACGAATTATAAAAAAAAAGTAAAGTTATCCCTGTGACAGGCCGTTGAGGCCCATAGGGTTGTGAGATGTCGAGGCTCTTTCTCTGAGGCAAGACACCGACTCATGAAGCAGCCCAGTCATCTACGCTGCATTCTAGTGCCTGGATCTAGAATGAGGGGAGTTCAGAGCTTATTTTCATTTTCGCGTTTTTATGACAAAAAAATAGACTGAAAATACAGTCACAAGAAACAATGCAGATTTTTTTAGCCTTATTATTTGTATTTATTGATCTTTATTGTGGCTTCATTTTACTGTTAATGATGTGTTACATTTGACTGAACTTGGCTGAAACATGCTGGGATTTGTGCTTTCCTATTGCAGAAATCATGTAGAAACTACGCAGAGAGCTCAATAATAGTGGAAGGGTGTGCCCAAATGGACCATACACAAGTTACAAATATACATTTTGTGGTTTTGCATATGGTCACACCATTATTCATGATTTATATTGGTTACAGGTACAAATCTTTTAATGCAGAGAAGACCTCACTATGTATAGTCATAAATTACATTTATTTGGACTCTGTTAAACATTCAATGTAATGAAATATGTTTCAAACAGAATTATTTCTAATTATAAAAGTTACATGCTGTGTCTCACCGTTTCTCATGATAAGATGATTTAAAGGAAAAACCCGAGTTGGGTCTTAGTTTCTTGTAACGCAGCATAAGGCAACAGATTAGCAGACTCAGCTGATGACATTGTAGAGTATAATTTTTAATTTAACATTTAGTGTCATAGAAATTTCGAAAGATTTGCGCTGAGTTACTATGTTTCACACCAGTTAATGAACGGTAAGGACAAGAGGCTAAATTTCAGCATCATTAAACTGGCGTGTTTGGCTATTTCAAGTATTTCTTTGATGATGTAATAAACCAAACTGTCTCATCTACATGTGAAATTGGGATAGCGGTATGTGCCATTAGAGTTAGTGCCTGGGTTCAATGCCAGGTCAGTTCATGTGACATTTGTGGTAGATATACTGCCACTGGGGCAGCATTTCTCTCATCAATTATCTGTGGCTTGTACAATGGTAATTCACAGTCTACAAGTACATACACAAGGGACGCGGTCCCAACCCATTATATTGTAACATAGATACACATTGCTAGGCAACAGCTTGGTAAACGCCTTCCCGCTTAAACTCGGGGTAACAAGCTGGAGCAGTAAATTACTAGGCAATGCTTCATTAAACATATTCCGAGGTAACTCAGCCAACAGAATAATCCATTGCTAGACAACGGACTGTTAAAGAGGGAGAGAAACGCCCTAAAACTCGAAACAAGGAAGCTCCGAGCCCAGGGTGAGAAAGCTGCACTTTTGGAAGAAGAATTAAAGGATGTAAAAGTGCAGCTTGCTTTCATCGCGAAAGAGAGAGACTCTTTCCAGCAGAGATACCGACGCTCAGAAAAGGACTCTAAATCCATGAAGAAGATTATAGAGGGCCTGAAACTTCAAGCAGAAGAGCTCCGTAAAAAGGAGAGTAATGCTCTTTTGGAAGAGCAATTAACCGCTGCAAGACGCCAGTGCGATGCTGTAACCAAAGAGAGAAACGCTTTCATCTTAAAGGCCCAGCAAGTAACGAAGACTAATGGTACCCTACAGATGAAAATGAATGCTCTCAAAGTCGAAGTCGAAGATCTTCGATCAAAAATTAACGAAAGACAGTTACAGCAAGACGAACTGAGCGCTGTAAGACGGCTTTGCGACAACATGGAAAGAGACAGAGACTTGTACAAATTAGAAGCCAGACGATCAGCAGAGACGAGGGTCGCCCAGACCAAAGTCATAGACGCCCTGAAATTGAAAATAGAGGATCTCCACGTCCAGTGCAAAAAGAGTTCGCTACTGGAAAAGCAATTAAGCGTCGCAGAGCAGCAGTGGGATAATATGAGAAAAGAGAGAAACGCTTTCATACTGAAGGCTCAAAAAGCAGAATGCAGTAGAGCGAACCTACAGATGGAGAGGGATGCTCTCAAACTGGAAGTAAAAAATCTTAGATCCAAGATTAACGACGTAGATATACACGTACATGAAAACGTTACTAAATGTTACAAGTGAAGACTGCGACAACATCACATAACGACAGATTCTTCAATTCTCGAAGTCCACCAAATGGGAATGGATATAGA